AAAAAAGTTAATTTTACTAAACATTTTTTTACAAACCGCTAACATGATCAACTGGTCAAAACAGCTAATGCAATCTGCTGGTCAAAACAACTAATATAAACAGCTAACAGCTGATTACCAAACAAGGCCATAGTGTAGAGATAGTGACAATTTTTTTTTTTTCATTTTTAATTGTCTTTAACAATTTATTTGTTATTTTACTTTATACATATGTACTTTAATATATTCTGTATTATAAAATTTATGTTTAATTTGCTATTAAATTCATACTTACTTTTAGTAATCTCAATTTATTAATATTTTACGATAAAGGTGTATATTTTGTTTACTTACCTTTCTAAGAACTATTGATGTGGCAGCCAAAGTAGCTCGGTGGACAGGCTACAGTAGTTAGCTTGGATTGAGCCGGCCCAAGGAAGTCGAAGCACGGTGTCAGTGTTTGACCTATTCATGAAGCTTATTAACACAACCCGATGTACTGATCGACATGTTGAGAAGACCATAAGACCCTCTAGGAGCTCGAGTTTACGTGGCGACGACCTCACACCATGGGGGTCGTGAGGAAAGAGGCCGAGATAGTGACCTAATTATGACTGGCGGCAGGTATGTTAAGAGGTCGTGGTTACGACATATAGATCTAAGTGTTGTACAGTAAGGGGGGATAAAATTCTAGTAGGATGGAAATGGAAAGTATGTCTTGGTAAAGAATCTCGGATCCTAGAGGCGCAACATGCTAAGAAAGCAGACCCGTTTGATTTTTTTCCTAGTCATGACTCTTTTGGGCATCGAGACATACTTTATAGATGGGGTGACAATGTTCTATATAAATTTTATCACATATTCACGCATACAATGCTTAAAGTTTTGCCGTTTATTCTTAGGAGCACATACTTGGGCTTTCGAATGTTTTTTGTCAGAACCCTTCCCCGGCTTATTACATGACATTGGAGCTCCAGATCAGTAGCCATTCATGGTGCTCCGATTTAACCCGGTTCAAGGAGAATTTTCATATAAAATATTGATAAATATAATAAATATTAAATATAAAAATAATGAATATAGTTATATAATAAATATGATTTAAAACAGTGAAATGTTATTTTGAAATAGAATAAATGAGAACTATGAAGAATCGATTAAAAAACTCTGTGGAGCTTATAGCTATTAAAATTTATAATTTTTTAATTTTAAAAGTAAAAATCAAAATTTGGCTAACCCAAATGATTTGAAATTTCTGTTGAAAAAATCAGTTATAAAACTTGAAGTTGATCCCATTTTGGCTTAATTTTTTATGGTTAAATATTTAATTCGGGTTGTATTGAATCATATAAAAAAAATTATACATTTCGAGTAGATACTCGTGATATACTTATTTTTTCAAAACTGACTTTCTGTGAGTGAGAAATAAATTATTAAAGTTAGTCATAAATTGACATGCAAATCGATAGATGTAGGATTCGAAGAGTCAAGAGTCTTTTACCACATTGAACTCTTAAATGATATTAACTCCCATTGATATAAAAAAGAGAGTTGAAGATGTCACAACAACAAAGTTATGCATCAAGTGTTGGTGTTGACTTCATCCACAACGCGCTCTCTCGCTGGTAGGTTCGACTCTAGCTTGGTCATTGGGTTGGACTTAGATGGCCTTGGACGGTCTGGGACAATATTGGGCTTGGTTCGGGGCTTGGGCCTTAGACCCAACCACTAGATATCTTTTTGCTGTAGTTTTACTTGAAAATTGTCGACCAAATTGAAATCCAATCAAGATGGAATTGGAATCGAGTTTCTTACCGTACTCGGGTGAAACATCTCCAGGTACACTGAACCTGGACGTTTGACTCTACCTGACTGTTTCAGGTAGAGTTATGGTGTTTTAACACCTGAGTAGTGGTGTGTTAAACACCTAAAAATGGACTGGTTGTTTTTATGCCAATTAGAACAGCCTTAAGTGTGTTGTTACTTGTTTTAAGTGACAGTTGCAGGTGACTGGTGCCATTCCCTACCTAATATGGAAGTCCTATAGGTAGGACCTGTCTAGAGTTGCAGAAGTACTCATTATCTTTATCTGCATCCTTGCACTCTCTCGTATCCTCACGCATAAACATACTGCTCTATCTTTGAAGACAAGGCGCACATTTCGCTAACACTACATGGGGCGTATTTGTCATGCAAAAAGAGTTCACTCGCTCGACTTAATCTTTTAGATCTTCAATTGTAATTTTGTTTTCCGTTTTATAGTTTTAATTGTAAGAACTGAAAATATCAGTTTCATTTCATAGGTTACCACTATAATTCACACACTCGGATTGTGACAATTTCATTATAATTGTGTGTGTTTGTTTATTTTTATTTATTTATTTAATCGTGACATGTTTACATAATTCTCTTGCATGAACTCATAACATCGCGACATTGTAGTTCCAACTATGAGAAAAAAAAAACAATATATATATACACACTGCCAGAGCAATTAATAAAAATATTTTTGGTTTCTCGCCCAAAATCATTACAAAATTTTCATTATTAATCTGATTTTTTTTGCTAATTTTATTCAACTTCATTTAGTAACGTTTCCTACCCATATTTTAGATACTATGGTAGAAACTCGTTAAAATTATTTTAATTAAGTGTAATAATATATTTTTTACTATTATAATATATAATAATTAATATTGATACCAACTAATAATAATTTACCCTAAATGTTATATAAAAATTACACAAGTATAAAAAAGTTATATTGCAAATATTTTTGTTCAAGATTTTTATTCTAAACTAGTGCAAATCTCGTGCGATGCATGTGGTGGACATTTTTACGGATATTTATCTAATCTTATAATTATGTTTGTGAATAAAAAAATTAAATAAATAGAAAAAAAAATAATATTATACATCATTAAAAACTTCCTTATAGAAATGTAGTTACAAAAACTGGATTAAATCGAGACCCACTGATTATACAAATAAAATTTGACCAGAGAATTTTCTATATATAAAAAACATCGAGACATGCACATTATATCAAAGAAATCGTTTATATTATTTTGTCGAAGCTACTTTAATCTCATTACGGTCATTTCATACAAAAAGTTGAAATTAAAATTGAGACCCATGCCAAAAATTAATATGGCCTGCGTATTTCAAACAAAAGTATTTTATAGATTGATTGATTTCCCAACAGATTTTGTAAAAAAAAAAAAAGAAAAAAAAAAGAACCAACAAAGTGTTCGAACTGAAAATGAAATTTTTAGCTAGATAGAATGCTAATTTTTTTAATTACGGAATTAACTTTATTTTTTTATAAAATCAAGACCGAAATTTAATTTCATAAAAATTCAATGTTTCAAAAAAATAAGAATCTTAACATATTCAGATTTATGCTAATTAGTTTTGTTAAAGAATGATGTTAAATTAAAACAAGAATATGTTTCCATATCAATTAAAAAGTTATAAAATAAAGCATTAAATATGAAAATTGCAGCTAAGAAATATGTTTCCATATTAATAAAAAACTTCCAAATCCAAAAAACATAAGCATTACATATGGAAATTTTGGCTAATATATTTTCATAATTAATAATTAGGATTTTTTGGCGAGAAATAGTTACTATTTTAAAAATAATCAAACATTTTTATATAGATATATAGATATAGATTAACCAATTTTATATCTTATTATTTTGTATCTCAATTTTTTATTTTTTATTTTTTTTAAAAAATTAACTAATAGTTAAATAACATAGGCAAATATAACTTAGTAATATTTTATAAACACATGATGATTCTAATAGTCTAATAGAGAGTGGATAATAATTAAAAAAAAAAAAAAAAATTGGACTTGTTTTGTTACACGTGCGAAAGTTGACTGGGACCGATAAAGAAGACTTAATAATGGCGGGCCCTTCCTTTATTCAACATATTTTCATAAATAAGTATATGTTTTCAGTCTAAATGGAAAAGGATAATAGATAAAGCTGCCATTTTTTTCTTTGCTTCAGCTTCTCTACCACATTCCCAGATAAATTGGTAAAGCTTTTTCATTTTTATTTTTTATTTTTCACGGCGTTTCGTGTGATTGATGGCCTGCTGAGTTTGTGATGGGTTTTACAAATTCATTCGTTTGATTATTTTGTTTTGTTTATCTCAGTTTGATAATTTCCGCCTTCAATTCTAAGTAGTTTTTCGAATTCGGGTATTTTTTTTTTGGTGATGAGCTTGTTTAGGTATTATATGTTTATATTTCTTGAAAGATATTATTAAAGATTGCATTTTTATTTCCTGTAGTTTGTTTTAGTTGCACATTTCTAAGCTCTTGAGATGTTTCAACATAATTGTGTTAGGGGTTGGTTTACCTAATCTTTCCAATTTTTTTTTTTTTTATTTTTTTTATTTTT